AGTTCACTTTGAGATATTCCTACATGAATATGATACAATTGGCTTGATTTAAGTCCCAGTATTTCTCCTTTCCCTACCCTCACACTTCTCTCTTCTCCCCTTTATTTACTGGTTTTCCTTCTATTTATTTGGGTTTTTATGTGCTTTATAGTTATACATAAAATCCCAATTCATTGGGACATATTCATGCATGCATGTAGCAGTTTAGTCAGTTTTATTTACTGACTGAATGAAATTTCCTTCTCCTTCTCTAGTTCCCTCCCTTCTCTAGTTCCTCCTCATTTCCTCTTACCCCCTTCATCTCCTCCCTTCTCTTCTGTTTTCATGGGATCCTGTAGTACTTCAAGTAACTATTATTTCCAATGACAATGATTATTGGGACTTAAAAACGAGTTTTTACTAAGTCACATTTTAAAAGACTCCATAGATCCTTTCTGGGGTATATAGAAATGCCTATATTATATTTTTTTATGTTTATTCATGTTGCATGTGAGAATCATGCTCCCCCATGAATACCATTTGGTTATTCACTTACTCATTAGTGACAGACTACCATTACATATTTGATTTGTCCTTGAAAACTTACCTTATTGTCCTTTGGCTGTTTGCATCTAATAAAGATAGGAAAGACCTATTGCTGAAAATGTGACTGGGAAAGAACATGTGGGGATCAAAGTTGATGAATGCAATCATCCTGGGCATAAGACACTAAGAGTTATTTCTGAATTAGTTCTATTATGTAAAATAGCTCTGAAGAAAATCAGATTTCTATATTTCATCTCTGGGTTTTAAAACTATATTCAGCATAAAGTTATTTTCCAGTGTTATAATTAATGGGAAGAAATTAAATATAGAATAAATATCAAGAGAGTAAAAGTGTATTTTATTAACAGAACTTTAATGATTAAATGTTGTCCCATCTTTTGAATATTTGAATTTCAATGTTTTTTTCATTCATCACTCCTTTTTCATGTGTTTCATGAAGCAAATCAAAGGATATTCAAGTTTTTTGAAACTGGTCAATATGAGTTTCCAAATTAAACTGTTATGTTTGAAAAGGTTGAAAAACATATATTTAGACTTTTTATGTTAAATATTCTAAGTTCATTCATGTGAATATATATGTGCCATCTAAGAAAACGTTCCTGAAGGCAAGCTAATGGCATTGTTTGTCTTAGAAGACCATGCTTGTCAATTTTGCCATGCAAAAAATGACATTTAAGATAGCTGAGCAGATTGCCATGTAGTTTTTCTAAGGATAGGGTGACAATTATACATTTCTACCTGAGGTTACTGTTATTTGATGAATGAAGTAATTTTTGATAAGACATATTTGCTCAAATGATATCTATATCAGAATATTTAAGATAAGATTGAATTTGAGGTTAGAATATTAAAAATTAGTGCAGCAAAATTTATGTAAATTGCCTTTTTTGATACCACAGAATGATGAATTGCATTATCTTGCATGTATGTTCAGCTCTGGTGATGTTAAATGTTTGTCCTTATTTGCATCTGCAGGTACTTTCTCAGTTGTATTTCAAATCCTTCAAAAAATATGATATGGAAACATAATGCATGTCATTAGTTTAGCCACAGGAGGTTGAATAAATGTATTTCTTTTGGTATGTGTTTCTAATAAAAGTAATTTTGATTTAAATTAGCACTATCTTTTTTTTTAGGCCTCCATTCCTTTGAAGGAATTGGAGCAGTTTAACTCAGATATACAAAAATTGCTTGAACCACTGGAGGCTGAAATTCAGCAGGGGGTGAATCTGAAAGAGGAAGACTTCAATAAAGATATGGTAAATTGGTTGTGATAAAGTGTGAATGAACTAGGAGTAAAAATGAAAAAAAAAGTAGAAAGAAATTATATACTTCAGATCTTCAACTGAATTCTCAGAATATACCTCACACATTATATGATTCTACTGATTTTTAGAAATGCAAAGTATTCTTGTTGACCTTTTATATCAAATGCCAAATTACTATGGTCTGGTCATATAGGAGCAATTACACACTCTAAAATATACTTAAATTTATTTTGACCTGTGCTGTTTTTGAACTTGGAGGGAAATATGTAATAGAAATAGTCAATCAGAAAATAAACTAGACATTTAATAAGAATTTCAGCTATCATAGATAGCTCATGTTTTGTGTCAGTCATGTGTTTGGTCATAGAAGGGCCAAATTTACACAATATATATTTTGTTTACCAAAGTTTCCTACAAAGTTATTTTAACAAAAAA